TTTTTTGAAAGTTCAGCTCTTCCAAAATGCCTGGAAGAAACTTGCCAATTAACTTTTCCCTTTATTATTTTATTAATCATTGTACATATGAATATTGTATTCTGCTCTATGACATCCACTGAAAAATAGCCCTGTAACCTGACTGGTGTCTTCTTATTTAGCTCTGTCTCAATTCCACTCTTAGGTTATCTTTGAACAATGTTGAGTTCCTCTGGCAAACAATATTTTGTGAATTTTGTGAGAGCTGCCAGCTAAATTTCAAGTGATAACAGCAGCAGTTGCATGCTGCTTGTATCTGTGTCATACTTTTATCTAACACTTGTACAGATTTTCACTTGGTGAAGAGCTGCTATATATAAATGTCCATATGAACACTGAATTTAGGGTGCACTGCAGGGAACAGGAGCTCTCCAAGTCCTGGTGGTGCCATGGTGGCGTCCCCTGTGCCCACACCGAGCTCCACATGAGTCACATCCACACTGCAAAGCAGCAGGGCAGGCTCAGATCTGGCCCTTTGCCTGTCCCCTGGGGCTGAGGAGCTTTTCCAGGTTCCACACCACACTCACCTGCCAGGAGTGCCCCAGGAGTGCCCCAGGAGGCTCCAGCTCTCCCCACGTGCTCTAAGGCTGCAGCTCTTACCCTGAGTGCCTCATGCAAGGGGAACTGCAGGGAATGGTGCTGTGAAGGAGCACTCCTGGCAGAGGGAGGTTTATTGTTGCACTGGACTTGGATTTCAGCTGTCTGTCATGGTGAGAGGTATTTCTGTTCCTCTCTCCTTTGGGTCTCATGGAGCTTTGCTTTTATCTGTCGTCAAGGAAACACCAGGGTTTTTTCCCCTTGCTCATTAATGTCTGCATTTTTGTTTCCATAGCTACAAAGGAACCTTAGTGTTTTAAAATAGCAGTAATTGGATTACTATGACTTTTTTCAAATTTATTGACACCATTAACGGTTCTGATTTTCAAAAGCAGACACTGAAATTGTATCAGCAGTTTTTCAGCTATTAACATGTTATCTCCTTGTCCTGAAATCCTGGGTACATGCTCAGAAAAGCCTTCAGCAGCCAGACACTGACTGCAGCCTGGCTCAGGCTGCATACATGGTGCTCTGAAATTACTGAAAATAGTGATGATTATGCTCTTTACTTGGATTATTTTCAATTTCTGATGGTCTCCTGCAAAGGAGTGCACAGGCTCTGTTTTGAATCTGCTCAGTATTAGCACATTACAGATCCTTTGTGATTTGACCCCAGTAGAATAATCTGGAAGAATTTTTACAGCCAAGGATCTCGGAAATTCAGGATGCAGAAACATGGGAAAAGCACAAAGAACTGAGAGTACCAGCACTGTTAACAACTGGTATTACTTAGCAGGGACATAATTCATGTTTTGAAACAAAAAAGTGACACTGCACTGTCTGTGGCTCCATGCACTCTCCTACCACCCTGAAATTGTTCCTGTGCTGCCTTCTAGCACTTTCCATTTACTTGTTGCCATTGCCTATTTGAGGTGCTTTGTGACCACCATAAGTGCTGATCCTGCACCTCTGCCCTTTCTTTCCTGCTCCTCCAGCTGAGGACAGAAAGCAGCTGAATTCCCTGCATGGATGTCCCAGCAGCTGTGTCACCACTCCTTGTGCTGAGCCCCAGCCAGAGACACACTGGAGCTGGAATCAAATTAAATCAGTTTAAAAAGTTGTAAGATGTGGACAAACAGAATGTCCAGATACCACCTCTTGTTTTAGAAAAACAAGTTCAAGAGAGTCACCAGCCTAAAACTCAGGCAAGGCAAAAAGGTAACAAGTGGCTAAACACACCAAGTGTGAACAAGGAAGTCTCTTTAATCTAAAATATTAGTTCCTGTTTTTCATCCTGGATTTCTGTGCATCCTGGAGGCTCAGACATTCTATTACCATGGAAACAGTATCCTGTGTCTCTGAGGACCTGCTGTAGCTGTGTGCTGCTATGGAAACAGTCGTCTGAACAGCTCAACTCATGTCTGTACTTCAGTGATTGTGTTTGTAAAGATCCATTGCTAAATTATCCTTGCAGGATTCATTTTAATAAAACGAAGTCCCTGAAGTACATGGCAATTTAGTAAAATCCTCAAGGCTTCTCTACATTATAAATACAGCAATGGAAAAAAATATACATTAGAATTACCTTGCCCTTTCAATAATTACCAACCTCTCCCAATCCCTGCCATCAGCAAAGGTTTGGGGGAAAGATGGGTCTATCCTCCCCAACAATCATTCACAAAACTACTTCAGAAAAGCAAATTTTGGTGCCATGTTCTGTGCAAGGGCTCCTTCACACACCCATCCTATGTGCCAGCATGGAAATGAAATTCAGAAGAAGGTACAGGCAGAAAATGTGGCTCACATGACTGAGCTGGGAATTCTCACATTTTAATTCCAGGTGAACTGTTCTTTGTCTCAGGAAAGCCATCCAAGGCAGATTTCAGAAAAGAGAACATGTGAGTTGGAAGCTCAACTCCCACTAATTTTTTCCTGGGAATTGAGTCCTTAGCTGATCCTAGAAAATCTCCTCAACATTTTCATATTTGTAACATCTGAGATACTACTACTTCCATATTTCACTAGAGTTCTGTGGGCATGAGTATTTTATATTTTCTTCAATAAAGCCATCAAAGAATCAGGAACACTAAAACAAAACAACTAAAAGGTGCTGTTCAGGTTAATAGCCAGCTGTAAAGAGCTTCCTGCCCAATTACATTGATTTTTCCATGCAGTTACTGCAACTTAAGACTGTAAATTCACACTTTTTATCTTTATCTTTTTTTCATTTATTTAATCAAAATCATCTTCACCAAGGTCTTTTCCAACCCAAACCATCCTAAGAAGGTTATATCCTATCTCTTTATTCCTACACCAAATACTGGTTATTATGGCTTGTAAAGGGAACATTTCCTAACACTGAATATCTGAATATCTCTGATTACAATTTATAATATATAAAGAAATCTCCCAAACATAATGAATTTGTGAGTATAATTCAAATACCTCCAGTGAACTTCAGGGAAGCAGGAAAACAAAAGCTACTCAGAAATGTGTCAGTTTTGAAACCCAGCTCTTTTCCCCTCTTGAGAGGGATACCTCAGCAATATCATCATCATCATCATTATCATAATCAATTTTTTTTCCTTTAAAATCTTTACAGCCTCTTTTATCAGCAAGGATTAAGATATGTGACACTCTGAAACACACATTTACAAAGGGAGCAAACACTGAGTTTGGAGTAAGCAAATTAAATAAGTTTTAGTTGTTGCTGATACTGGGTTGTCTCCAAGTTTTGTGATTAATGAAGCTTTTTGGAGGCTTTTTATTAATATAATTTTCCTTAGAAGTCTCCTTGCCTGCTGCCCCTCATTGATGGACCTGGCAGCACCAGCCCCTGTGTGAGTCCTTCTGCTCAAGAGTGCCCATGCTCACACAGGATTTGTTTCTCCTGTTCCTGTGCTACACACTTGGGAGCTCCTGGCTTTGAAGACACATGGAATGCACATGTGATTAAAAAGAAGAGCTGTGCTCTTCATCTTTCCTTTTAAAGACTTTTATTTTTAATAATTAGTGCTTTACAGTATTTTGTGTATTTCAGAGAGCTCCTGGATACTCAGAATTTTTCATCACTAGAAAGTGTATATAAAAATTCATCTTATTTCTGAGCATGAAACCAAAAATTGACACTAAGAAGCTTAAACTCCATTTTTGCCATCTTATTAATCATGAATCTGCTGGGTGTCCTATTGAATCACTGCGCTAGAACTGATATATATGCAGGAACTTGGAAGTGGTTCCTAAATTACTCCATTTAGAGAAAAAATAAATTGAGGCAGCTAGGTAGAAAGTGCTTTAATGTACACTATGTAAGACCTAGATATGAAAAACTGCATTTAAAATGGTTTTGTGAGAAGAGTAGTCAATGCTAAAACTACTTATTCCTTTAAAAAATATTTTTAACTTCAGTTTGTAGCTGTCTGTTGACATTTTGGACTCTGCACTCATGTAACAGAGAACATATCTCCATCCTCAGGAGATGGATTAATCCAAGTTGACTTAATCATACTGGGATAAATCTGATGATTTCTCAGTGCATGGAATTTATTTTTTTTTATTTATACACGTGGCTTATTCCTTTTATTATTGCTGAAACACTGAGTTGCAGACAGCTTCATTTCAGCAGCACATTAAGTCTAGGCAGTACAATGGTGAAAAAGCTGTTTTCTCCCAAAGGGCTCTCTAATTAATCATCACTAATGAAGCTCTGCTAATTAACAATAATGGGGGTGGTGGAAGGCCTAGAAGAGTCTGAGTCCAGGCTGTGAGGATTTTGCTTCCAGTCCTTCCCAAGTGCAACCCACCCAGGGCTGCTCTGCAAATGGATTTTTAACAGCTCATATGTTCTTGTAATATTTACTCAATTCTTCTTAGACCCTCCTCAAGTTGTTGCACATGTTTGACTCCAATCTGCTTGGTCTGTGTGTAGCTGCTTTGTGCAGGCCTGTTAAATGTGTTTGGCTTTGGATCAGGACAGAATGGAGTGGAGTTCTCTTGCAGGATTTCCAAGATTATAAATATTCCCACATATTCCTCTCACTTTTCTTTAAGTGTTGTAATATTTCACAGCTAAGTACATAAAAGAGCCCCCATGGCCTGGGGTGTCAGTCAGTGGCTACAGGAAATGCAGATTCAGGCATTTTATCAAGTTGGACTCTGACAGTTTTGATCACGCCATCTCATGGCCTTTGATTTTGATTTTTCCTAAATGGAATCTATGACTTTTACATTAGTGGGGATTTTATGGAGTCTGCTTACTTTACAGTTTAAAATGTTATTAGAGTATATCATGAAAGAAAATACTTTTGTCCCACTGTGCATGAAGAGTATTCTATTACTTTATTTGCATGGAAGATCCTTGCATTATGTTTCCATTTTAAACTCTCCTGTTTGATTAATATTTTTTATTTCTTTTTCTTTTATAGTTTATCCCTTAGGTTGGATGAAATGAACTCATGAGAAGCCCTCAGAAGGCTGTTTGGAAGAGAGAAGTATTTTTAGTGGAGCTACAAACAGGAAACCACCAGTGGCCAGATAAGATATGAAAAATTTAAAACTCTCAAAGCACCTCATCCCCAGAAGGACAAGGATCATTTCAGGTGCAGTTTTTGACTTCCATGCTTGCTGTTTCCCTGTGACTTGTCAGTCCTGTCCATACATTTCTTCCCAGTTTGGGGCTGGGAATTCCCACTGTCAGGCCCAGATGAGAGGCTGGGACTGAGCCTTAAGTTGCTGTTCCTGTTAAAGATCTGAGGAGAGAGGAGGTTTTGTGTTCTCAGTTGCTGAGACTGCAAAGCAATAACAAACACAATCCCAGCACTAAGGACAGCAGAAATACTCTGAAATCCAGGATCCACCTGTTCTCTGGCCCACAGAACTTACAAGAAAAACAATTTAATGGCTTGCCTTCACCAGAGCTGTGTGATCACCTCAGGCACATGAAAGCCTATGTGCCTCAGGGCTGTTTGGTTTATTATTGATTTGATCATTGTCTTGGTGACAGTTAAGCATTGCCTTGGTGACAGTGAGGATGTCAGCACTGGTGACTAAGTGGCCACTTCCATGTGGTACTTTGTGTATGACAAAGTCACAACTTTTATTTTCAGGTTGTGGTTTCTTGAAACCATGTCCAAAGATAGCTGATGGAGCCCAAGATTTCTGAAACAAAGAGTTTGACAGAAATTTTGGACAAGGGAGCAAGGTCTGAAGACCATGAATTACGTTTGTGATTTAATACAGAATTCTGACCATGACTTGTCCTCGCTGGTCCTTCAGGATTTGCACTGAAAGTTGCACCCAACAAATATTTGAGAGCACAGTGCTTTTATAGAACTGTTGTCATCTTTTGAATTACACAAGAATGACTGGGAGAGAAACATGATTATCTCCAAACAACACAAAATCATCGGCATTTTCAAAGTCCTTTAGAATTTGTGGTTTTGTCTTTAATTGTGCTGTTACTGTGCTTGCTCATGAGTTGTGGGAGATAACATGTGATTATCATCTGCCTACTTGATCACATGCACATTTGTGATGCTTGCAAGAGCAAACATTATTGGCTGGGATCTGTCACACTCTCAGTTCCAGGGACTGTTTCCCAGACAACAGCACAGTCCCCTTGATCCACGAGCTGTGCACCACCGTGGACCTGTGCTCAGTCTAACACCTGGTGGCAGCTGCTGCTCCCACTCCTGACACAGACAAGATGTTTGTAGAGCCATAATCCAACTGCCTGAACTCTGCAAATCAAGGTAACTGCACAACCTAAATTAAAAAGTCAAAATGAGTCAAACAGCACCTACCTTGTTACAAATTCTGAGTCGGTTTTTAAATTGAAACCAGATCATTCCTTGCCAAAAGCCATTTAAGGGCCATGTACCTGTTTCAGCCCTGTGCTGCCACACATAAAGGCAAGCACAGCTGTGCAAGGTGGTAAATCATTTCTCTGTAGTAACTGGAGAGTGTTAAAACAAAGCAGCCCAGAGGGCAGGTGGAAGAGTGAGTGTCAGAAGCAGCTCAGGCCAGCTGGGTGGGATCCTGTGTGCAGGGCGTTTGCATTCTGGATGTTGTCAGGTGGGGGAGGAAGCTGATAACAAAAATAATTATTTGCATTCAAATTATATAAACAGTGCCAGAGCCTGGTTAGTGTAGGCAGTGTTAGACAGAGTGTTTCCCAACTGCAGGAGATGTATCACATGCTGGGTAAGGAAGGTATATGAGGCAACAGCACTCTGAAGGTGTGCAGCTCTAAACCTCTTGGCACATTTTATGGCAGGAAAATAAAAAGGATCTGAAAATCAAATGGCTGTCCCAGATCACTCAATTAAAAATGCACATTTTTAATATGACCTAACTTAAACTCTGTGTTCTGAGGCAAAGATAATGTCTGGGTTTGAATTTATTGGGGAAAGGGGGCAGGATACTGGTGGGATTTGGGCAGGGTTCTTCAAGGTGTGCAGGGAATGGGAGAGATGTTAAATGGCAAGGTAACAAAATCTCTGTCTCCCCTTGATGTCTTTAGCTCCAATCAGCTAAAACTGAGTGGCTGTAGCAGCAGTGTAGCAGCATCACCAATCAGCAGTTCAGATCCCAAGCTGTCCTTCCACATCAAGCCACAGGTTTCTGAAGATCTTATAATTAATTCTTTTGTTTTCACTTGTTGAGAACAACTTCAAATGTGAGTGGAGTATTAAAGGGATGTTGCTTATTGATCCTGTGATGCTCAGTCTGAATACCCTGTAGGTTTGCAGAGGGGCTCTCTGGGGTGTTCCATTCCCTCTGTGGGCACAATGGGAGATCCACAGGAGGATCTTTGGGAGATTTACCACCTTCTATAGCACTCTTTCATATCCCTTCTGACTGCAACTCTGCTTTCAGAGCTCCTCCAAGAAAAAGCAAATCCATGGTCAAAATGAAGAGGCCATTCTCTCTCCAACCAAAGACTGCCTAAAGTTTTTAAAACATATCCCTCCCTCACTTTCTCAAGAAGTTTAGAGCTTCTTCAGCTGTATTCTGTGAATGATGTCCTTGGCTTTTCCATTAAGTACCAAAGGCTCTTATCTGACACCCAGTGCACAGGTTCACAACAGGACATTTGCACTCTGAATTGTTCTCAGGTTACCTGAGAGCAGCTTGATTGAAATCACATCCCAGAGAGTTTTGCAGTGTAATTGTAGCTGTGGTGACCAATATCTGCAAAGGGGAGAAAAGCTGCTAAATCACAGATGAGGACATGTGCAAACTGGACTCTAAAAGCCTGTTCTCACAGGGACACACAGGGAGTGGAATACACACACAACACATGTGATCCAGCCCCCTCTCGTGGTTTTACCACACAGAAGGCAGGAATTGACTCCAACTGATTTCTTAGTAATGATATGAACACCTGCATCTCTTCTCTGAAAGCTGATGTGGTTACTGGCATTTCACTTCTTCTTAGGGAGTGACAGGTATTAGTCTGAGGATAGAAAATTATAATCTGTAAAAATTTTTATTTGTATTTCCTAGGCAACTTGATGGCTATTTCTGGTAGAATATGAAGGAGTAAGGGAAGGGGATTTATTGGCTATTTCTGTGAGCTGTTTTTTCTTCACGCTGAGGGAGACAGCAAATACTACAGGACAGAAAACAAAATTCTTCTGGTCAACTGCTAAAGTGCAGAAACAAACACAGGCATTTGGTGTCTTGCACTGCTCTGTGTTTTAATTGAATTAAACAGAATAGCATGATACAAAAAAGTCAGTGCTTGTCAGCAGGTGGAGACCAAATGCACAGAACTGAGAGAACTGCTGCAGGTCTGGCTAAAGCCAAGCTGGTTCCAGAGGGTGTTTTGGGGTGCACAGCAGTGGCCAAATCAGCCCTGATCAGTTGCTCTTGCTCTGCAGCACCAGCAGGGCCTTCCTGTCATTTCTCCATTTCTTTACGGCTCACTGTGCAAACAGAAATTTGGGTGCCTTGTTCCTCACATGGCTCATCCTGGCCACGTGAAGAGCTGTCCCAGAGCAACAGGAGCAGCAGCTCAGGACAGAAATAACTGTCCCTGTCCTCAGGTGGCACCAGGGCCAGGTCCCCCAGTGCTGCTCCCCTGCCCGAGGCTGGGAGGCTCATGGAGCTCAGGGCTCCCCAGTGCTCTTTGCTGCATTCTGCTCCTTCCCCTCTGCCCTGGGCCAGAGGAGGGCTCCAGGCCTCAGTATGAGGAATTTGGGACAACATCTGTTCTGAAGGAAGGTGAAGGGCTCTGGGGTGGGAGTGCAGATTGCTGCAGTGGGAGCACTGTCAGGACTCAACATCAGCAGTGAAACTGTTGATGCCTTGCAGAGGAGGTAAAACTGGTAAAGAATGCTGGTTACTTCAATAAAAACACATTTTCAGTGTTGAAAGGGAAATATTTTTATTCCATTTATGATTCTCTGAAGAGACAAAGAGATGCACCAAAGCATGTTAATCCCTGCTACAGTGTGAGCTCTGTTCTCACCTAACAAATGTCTCATCATGGAAACTCATTTGTGCCTAACACCACTTTTCCAGAATGTTCTGTAGTGGTGGCATTTCCTCATTGGTGTCTTCTTTAGATATTAATCAGAAATCTGGAAGGATCAAAATTACTTGAACAAAATTCCTATTAAATTATGGGCAAAAATGGAGGAGTTGGTACCACACTGAGGTATTGCTGTGCTTGCTTTCTGTCAATAAAAGTATTTTTTATTAAAAGCACCATTTGATTGATGTGAACTTGTCATGCAGGGATGCATTATGACTTGCCAGGAATTAATGAGCCAATTCTGGAAGCACTGAAAAGGAGCTTTGCTATCCAACAAAAGTTTTCTCAGAGAAGTACATTCAGGAAAATAGAGCCAAGCATGAGGAGACTGACAGCTGATGAAAGAGTGTTTGTAGCTGGGCAGCCATGAGGAATTGTACCATGGAAGTCACTGAAGAGGTATGTCTGGAAAAGAAAACACTGACAATTTTCTATCATTTCAACTGCCAGATTGACAAAGGGAGTGGGAACTTGTTTTTCCAGCTCAAGAAAAGAGCAAGACTTTTGAATGGTTTTGATTAATATTGCCTGTGAATACCAATATTTCACACCAATAAAACTTGGATTTCAGATCAAGGAACTTGTGCTGTGTTACTGCAGAACAGCCATATTTCAGAATATGACAGGGGGGAAATACACCACAAAATACAATTTGCTGAAGTGTAAGAAACAGTGAACACCTCAGCTGTCTGTGAGAAGTGCAGAGCTGTGATACCTGAAGCAGGGCAGCAACCAGAGGCCGTGGCAGGGAGCACAGCAGGTGAGCTCAGAGCCTTCTCCTCTCACCCCTCCCTGTACCATCCCTGCAGAGTCACCTCTGCCCAGCTCAGCTCTGGTGACCCATGATCAATGGCACTTCAGGCATTTATTTCCCTCACAAGTGCAGCCTGAGTCACTGCCATTGTCACCAAACCCTTCCCAGGGTGGAATTCAGTGACATTTTGTGCTGCAGAGTGCCCTGGTTGATCTCTGGAGCAGGGCTCTGAACCAGGGTGCTGTTTGCCTTCCAGATAGAAACACAATACCTGGATTTTCACGTAATTGTGTAGGCTTGATTGGGTTTGACAATCTGGGGTTTTGGTACCCACTCTGGAGAGCAGGAATGACCTGGATACAATGCTGCAGATAAAGAGACTTTTGGGTTGTGAGTTATTTCCTGATATTTACGCTTTTTGGTCAAAATCAGGAGGTTTTTATGAGGCTGCTTAAAGGGGACAAGTCACACCTCCCTTCTGGCAAGTGTGGGTCTGGCAATACAAAATCTTCATGCCTCATTGAGCTTGGGACCCCAGAGCACTTTCCCACAGAATTCCCAGAGCAATTTCCAGTATTTCTTAGCCATGCCAAGGGGATTGCTCTGCCAAAATCTGAAACACAGAATCACAAGGCCCATTTCAGGCATCAGTTGCACCTAGCAGCTGTGAGCAAACAGCCCCTGAAAGGCACATATGGTATCTCATCATGGGTTTCCGCAGGTTTTTATGTTCTCTTGTCCATCATCATCATCCTCAGGGATCATTTTGGTACTGCCTGAGACTGGACAAACTCAACTGACAGAATGGTTCATTTTATTTTGTTAGTTATTAGACAGATACTGACAACATATAGAGGCAAAACTGTTGGATGTTATGGTATTATAATGTATGTAAATAATTCTAATGTTTAGGATGTGCCACTTTTTATTCTGCAGTTACAAATGCGCATTTCATTTTCCTAAAGTCTGGCTGTTTTATTTATAATTGTGTTATTTCTCTTACAGGACAGGTTTATAAGTAGTTCCACACTTGCTATCACTCAGATATAGAAAGCTACTTTAACAAATCTCCTGTTAAAATAGTCTGAAGTTTACATGAGCAAGAACTGCTGAAATCTAGCTCCTAATCTGCACCATATGTTGGCATGACTCCTTCTTGGAGATGACATTTTGCTTTGCTTCCAGTAGATAACTTTTCTTTTAAAGGAAAAAAAACCTGATGAGAGGCTACAGGCAGCCTGATGGATAAGGGGTGGGTATCTGCTGCAGTGTCCCTGCCTGTTCCAGGGTCACTGCCTTCCACAACTGCGTCACACTGACACCTCTCAAAATGATTTGCACTTTTAACATCCTTTGCAAAAATCACTCGGTGGGCACTCAGGCTACAATGGATTTAGAGCTGCCTCACAATCTTCCAGCAGTAACCCTGTCCACTCTGGCAGATCAGCAGAGTTAGCCACGTTCAGGAATAATAAGGTGAAGGAGTCAGGGAATATAGGATCAAGATAGGTATGCCCAGAAAAAATGTATTAGCTTAACAACTCTCAATTAAATATTTGCTACTGGCTGAACCCGCTATATCTCATTGAACAGCAGCCTCTCTGCAGCAGAGCTGCCGGTTCATGTGGGGATGCACAGACACGGGATATTTACTGCGGGTGAGCGCTCCCAGCCTGGCCGGGGTCCCTGGCACGGCCGGCGGTGTCAGCCCTGTGTGATGAGATCTGTTTCGGGGACGTTTCCCCTGTGCTTTTCCACTGGGGCTATTTCTGTGCGGTGAGGGGCGCTCAGAGGTCACTCGGTCTGTTTGTCACCAACCTCGCTCGCTCCGAGCCACGGCACGCCGGCCCTGTGGGGGTTTCAGAAGGAAGCACGGCCGGTATCTGTGGGTGCCTCTGGGGCCGCGCCCGCTGCTTTCCGAGTGCCGTCAGTGCCGCTGCTCCCGGCCCATGACCGGAGGCGCTCGGGGGCAGCCCCAGCGCCGCGGGTTACGAAACCCTTACGAAACCTCTTACAAAACCGCCGGGCCGGGCCGGGCCGCGCCGCCGCTCGCGTGACGTCACACCCGCCTGCGCGCCCCCTGCCGGCACATCGCGGTAACGGCCGTGCTGTGACGTAATCGGCCACCTGCAGCAGTGCTAACGTCATCGGCCACACGCAGCCCGGGCCCCGCCGCCCCTCGCTGCCTTGCCCTGGCGCGGTGGGGCCGGGCTGGGCCGTACGAGGCCGGCCTGAGCGGAGCGCGGCTCACAGACCGCACCCGCCCGTGTTTGCGCGAAGGGCGGCGGAGCCGGCGGTGCCACCCCCGGGCGCGCCCTTCACGCCCAGCCCAGGCCGGGCCGGGCCGGGGGTCACGGGCGGCGCCCGGGGCCGCCCCAACCTCACCCCGAATGTCCCCGGCCGGGCACGGCCCCTGTCACGCGGTACACGCCCCGTGACGTCAGCGCGGCGCCGCGCGGCGATTGGCGGGCGCTGTCCGCGCAGGCGCGCGCCGCCGGCGGCAGAGCCGGGCCCGCGGAGCCGAGCGGCGGCAGCGGCGGCTCCGGAGCGCGGCCGGGCTGGGAGCGGCCCCGCAGCCATGAAGATCTGGACCTCGGAGCACGTGTTCGAGTAGGTGCCTGCGGGGCGGCGGGAGGCGGCCGGGCTCGCCCTGAGAGCGGGGGGACTCGTCCGGCGGGCCGGGGGCTGCGGGGACTGCACCGGGCCAGGGCCGCGGCCCCTCGGCTCCCCTGACCTTCCCCCGGGCTGGGGGACTCTCCCGGGGCCGGTGCTCGGGGCTGCGGAAGCTCGGCAGGGGCTGAACCTTGCGGGGCCAGCGCGCTGCCGGCTCCGAGCGGTGCCCTTGTGCTGCCCCCGGCTCCCGAGCGCCGTGAGGGCCTGCGCGATGCCAGCGCTCCGGACTCCTGTGTTAGAAATGATCTGAGGGAGAACTCGTGTGAGGGACGTAGAAACTTTAATAAATCACTACAGTATTATGAAAATCGGGATAAAGGGCAGTCTTTTGGCATTGTGTCACAGGGGAAAAAATCTTTTCCAGTTATAGCAGAACCAGCACACCCAGTTAATCAGGTATGTTGTGTTTTTATGAGCACTGCCCACTCAACGAAATAGAGGTTTTTCTCCAGGGAAGGACACAATCCTATTGCAAACCGAGTGTGCATCTCGGTGTCCTGCTTGTGTTTGTGCAGTCACCCCTGGGAAACTGTGATGACAGCCGCCATGAGGAAATACCCCAACCCCATGAACCCCAGCGTGGTGGGAGTGGATGTCCTGGACAGGCACGTGGATCCCAGCGGGAAGCTGCACAGCCACCGGCTCCTGAGCACCGAGTGGGGAATCCCGGCCATTGTGAAATCGGTGCGTGTTGTGTCACAGGCCACAAAGGGACACCGCAGGGAGGGGAGGCTCCTGAGCCAGCTGCTGTCATAGATGTGTATCATTTCACAACTGTAATGGTTTAAAAGTTTAATAGCTTAAGCATTTATGTACGGGGAAAGCTTAACAGCACCCTGACAGCCAAATCTGCACCTCAGGCTGCTTCCATCTGGAAAATGAGATCTACCTCAGCTGAATAGCTTTGTTTTAAGCTAAACCCTACCTGTGTTCTCTTGGTGTCTGTTCAGTGCAGTAACCACTGCATTTAAAGGCGTGAAGAATTGCAGTGGGTTGGTGGAATTGATACCATCTCTGTTTGCCTGTCCCCAGCTCATTGGCACCTGCAGGACAAGGACATATGTGCAGGAGCATTCTGTTGTTGACCCTGTGAAAAAAACAATGGAGCTTAAATCCTGTAATGTAAGTAAGTTGTGTTTATGCCTCTCAAATGGAACACACCTTGTACTTATGAAAAGGAAAATTATCTTGAAAATAACTTGAAAATTGCATTGGAATGATACAAGTTCAAGGTTTAAGTAACATGGTTAGAGTTGATCACTTCTGGTTTTCAGGAAGGAGCTGCTTGGCTTTTGGATCTTGTCACTGCTGAGGCTGTGAACACACTGATGAGCAGGAGGAGTTTTAGGGGAGGGGGTGGTGTTAAGAAAAAATGTTTTAAAGCCTCTTGGTGTAGGTGCACTGTGACTGTTTCCTAATCACGTGACATTTTGCTCTCTGTAGTATTCTGTTATTTGTATTAAAGGGCAATCCTGTCCTGTGTTCTACAGATTTCATTCACAAACCTCGTGTCAGTAGATGAGAGGCTTGTCTATAAACCACACCCTCAGGAACCACACAAGTGAGTACCCCCTGCTCTGAGATTGACTGGGTTTTGCTTTGAACATGTCCCTGGTTTCCCTTGATCAGAAGATGAGGGTTACATGGCTTTTATTTACAGTAAATTGTCTAAACCAGGATTAAATGGACTGTCACTTCCTGCAGTGACATTGGTTCTGCAGAGCCCTGGGAGACTTTGGGTCATTCTGTGCTGGAGTCCAGTTCAGGGTGTGAATTTGTGTACATCTGCAGTTTTCAGCTCCTTGTTCCACACTGATGCTTTAGCCTCTAATTTTAGAGGTTTGTGTTTTGGTGGTTGCTTGGTGTTTTAACTTGGAGCTTAGTGAGTCTGTCCTGCTGTAAGTGGTGACAGTTCTGAAAGATGGTTCTAGGGATTCTAACATTGGAGTTTTTTCTGTCACAACAGTAAGAAATGTTCAATCCCTGTTGTTGAAGGGGATGTTTTAATACCTTTCCAGTATTCAGTAACTCCAGATCTGGTGTTTCCACTCTTAACATCCTGCTGCTAAAGATGGGAATGGCTGAGAGCCCCAAAGGGAGGCTTGGACTTGCCAGGTACCCTTGGGATTTATTTGAGAGGTAGCAGCTTAAAGCAGTTCCACAGTGTGGCAGTGGGTTGTGTTCAGGGGGCAGGCAGTTCTGTGTTACAGAGCAAAGCTGATGAGGAATGTTCTTGTGGGGGAGGAGGGGGTTCCTCTTTTAAACTACTCAGAGTAATTCAGTTTCCTGCTCTGTTCCAGAACCATTCTGACACAAGAAGCAATAATATCTGTAAAAGGTGTCAGTCTCAGCAGTTACCTAGAAGGGCTCATGGCAAACACAATTTCTTCCAATGCTAAAAAGGTAAGTATGGCCTTTGTGTGAAATGTGTGATCACTGGCTAAATGTCAGAGGGAATAAAGATCTCTGCTTTACTTTTTGGCTTTGTCAGCAATCTTAGAAAGGAGCCCCATAGTTCTGCTGCCTTTACTGCAGAGAATGAATGCTCAGCATGCTGAACTTACTCTTGTTTTCCTCTTGTGAATGGAGATCAGATAAATTATTATTGGCAAAGCTCTCTGAATCTTCACTGGAGAAAACATCTTCAAGCAGTGTGACACTGTCATTCTTGTGCTGCCCTCTTGATGCCATCTGTTCATTTTTGCTGTCAGAAAGGAATGTATGAATACAGACTGAAATAGTCATGTGGGAGCAGTGGAGCAGTGTTTTAGCTGAGAGTGTCCTCTGGCTCTCCAAGGATACCTTGAGTTCAGCCTCAAGAATGATAAAGCAGTCTGGATAAAAAGTATTTTATGGATCATAATGTGAGAACTGCTGATATAAGGAATTGTTTTCATGAAATCAAAGGCAGAACATGTCCAGCAGTACTGCAGCTATTGAAATAACATCAGAGGCATGAACTTCTGTTCCTTCCTCTTTCAACTACTGGTGACTTCAGTCATTTCAGTAAGAATTTAACTGATTGACTTATTCACTGAGATTTGCACTCTTAATAAACTTTCCTTTAACTGTAGGGCCGTGAAGCATTGGAATGGGTCATTAAAAGACTGAATGCTGAAATTGAAGAGTTGGCAGCTTCAGCAAGAGGAACCATGAGGAATTCGATGGCAGCAGCAGCATTTGTAGAGAAATGATGATAGTTCTTAGACCTGTACCACTAATGAGGCTTAGCAACCTGCAGCCTCTCTCCAGGCCTAGATACATGTATCCTTTGTTATTTAAAGGATGTGTGTATGAGGCATGTTATAAATTTAATTTGGAGAATTTTTCCCAAGGCTGAGGCTCAAAGGCTGTTTAATATATTGGGTCAGCTGGACCGATGAAGAAATAAATTTAAGTGTAGTTCCTGTATTTACATGAACACTAACTTATAATGTTTGCAGATGTGAAATAGCCTCATTTAGTGCTGAGGCTGCATATGGTGGAGGACACTGGCATGTTAGGCTAACTTTTATTTTTTGTGTGACTTATGGACTACCTCTTTTGGGACCAAGCCCAAAATTAAGCAGAATGGTTGTTCCAGCATTGTTCTTTTTGTTGATTTTTGACAGTTGTGTGATACAACTTGGTTTAACAGAAAGCTTATTACTTGATGCTTGAAATATAAAAGAATGTACAAAATATTTTTTGATAACCTTTTTAACTTGACTGGTTGAACTAACATGGTACTCAAATTGTTTTTCAGGCACTATAGGTAAAACATCAAAGTGTCTCTTACCTACCTACCAAGACATAAATCCTGCTCCTAAATGCAGCTTCAATGAGCTGGGCATGCAGTACCTTAAAGTCAAATTTTATCTTAAACTTCTGCAATAAATATCTCCCTTTCTAAAAGCCCATTACATAAAGGTACGATAAGCACAGAGCCTTAAAATCTTGTAAGCTGCTACAGTAGTGGGTGTTCACTTCAAAGAACCAATTAAAGACTAAAAAACCTTTGTGAAAGTGGCTGAGGAGATACCTAAACAAAAAAGGAAATAGTATTTAAAAATGTACTCGTTAAGTTGATCAGAAATAACCTGTCCCATCCAGTGGCTGTTGTGTTGTGCTTCACTTTAACCTGAGTGCTGAGTTCCAGTTCCCTTCACCCTTTGAGCTGATTTGCTCCCAGTCCAAGGCCCTGTGTGTTCCCAGGGGTTTCTCTTGGTGTTTCCTGGTACTCCCTGCAGGTTCCTGGTGCTGTCACAGTCACTCCCTGAGGCAGGGAAAGGTCAGCCCTTGGCACGTGCCAGGCTGTGCCATGCGGGCGCTCCCGGGCACCTCAGGGACTCTGAGCCACGAGGCCCCTGCAGGGGGAGCAGGAAAAGGCAAAGGCACAGCCCAGGGGGAGCTGATGTGGTATTTTGGTGCCCAAGGCTTTTCCTGGAATTTTGTTTCTAAGCTTACAAGTGATTTCAAGGCTCTCTCAGCCTTTCTGAGCTGTAATGTCACCCTGCCCAGCATATTTATTTTGCATGCCATTTCTGTTAGATCAAATTGCCTATTAAGTACTGTCTGCTTACAGAGCTCCTTTTAACAAACAAGAACACTTCCATAAGGTTTGTGCTGGGGGAAGAAAACAGAAATACAGATATATAACTTTTAAAAATTAACTATTCTAAACAGAATATTTTTCTAAACAGAAATGGCTTGAGACTACCTTACTAAGTCATTGAGGTTTGCCATACTTTTACAGGAGATTATTACAACTGAAATAACATTTCAATTTTAAAAGTGTATGTGAAACTTCTGCAAAACTGTACCATCATTTCTGATGAAAATGCTTAGCTTGAAATTAATTTTATATGTTTGCTCAGCCATTAGCATCGTTTGATATCCTAAAGTCAGTTTTTTCATTTCCAAATTTTTCTGCACTAGGGACTGCATAGTAGAACTCACAGTTTGGCCTTGCACTGAAAAAAACCTTACTGGTTAATTTCTACAGGCATTCAACAACTTCTTGAAAGATAATAAATTTCTTTCTTCTATTTTATTTATATGCCTGAATTCTCATTCTGTCAGAGTATGGCTTTCTGTATGTGGCCCTTTTTAAATAAAATTTTGTTTCAATTCTGGCTAATTCCTAAAACTTTCTGGTCTATTTGTGTTTTAGAACTGTGAGGTGAGTAATCTAAAATAAGGAGGCTGAAAGTGAAGAAATCCCTGGAGTGAGTGGCTTTTTTTGAAATGCATACCCTGAAATGCACATTCACAGCTGCTGTGGTCGTTTTTGCTTCTTAATAACTCAGCTTTTCTGCAAATGTGGCTTTAACTAGCAAGCAGATTTCACAGTCTGCTGTGGAGCATCCCTCCTGTGGAGAGATTTTCAGGGGCTGAGCTGTTCAGCTTTGCTGCAGCCAGCGTGGGTTGCTGTGGGTGGGTGCAGCACCACGGGGAGAGGGGCAGGGAGGAAATGGGGCTGGAAGGAATGGAGGAAATGGGGAGGAGAAGGCAGCTACAGCTGGAGAACAGAACTGAAGGGCCAGGAAGAAAGAATTTTGAAAAAAGGGGGAAGGGACAGGAAGTGTTAGGGCAGAGGTGGAGGAATGTGCTGTGATCAGTGCTGAGGGCTCTGATGGATCCCTGCCCACCAATGGGCACCGGCCCCTGCTCAGCCACAGCTCTGAACCACAAGTGCCAGCCAGGGTTTGCTTCAAAAATAAACCAGAAAAATTGTAACCACCATTTCCTACAACATTGCTGATCTGTCTCTCTGGTCTGTACTTGCATTTGTATTTCCAATAAATGTCAAATATCGTAAACACGAGCACCCACTGTGTGATAACTGCAGCATTTCCAATCTCCTGGCCCTGACAGAGCACTGGGTCAAAGGGAAGGTCAGCAACCTGCTGAGGTTCATTTTAATGGAAGAACTGAAAAGAACTAAAGAGCTTGTGTGGAAGCAGTGAGTCATTTTAGATTCCTTCCATTTCTTAAGGTGGAGGTTGTTCTTTCATTTGCCACAGGATCTGTTAATTTCTACCTTAAATAACTCCATAGCTTTGCTTTGCAGGTTGCTGTAGCAGTGATTTATTCTAAAGGTAAGGCTACATGTTACAACCAAGCTGAACTAATTGCTTACCTTAGGAGGACCATGGGCACCAGCTGTGGACAAAATACCTTACATCATGATGCTGTTTTGTCATAACCACATTTTAAAAGTAACACAAGTCATTAACCACATATAAAGAGGAAGTAATGCGCAAGGTTTTTAAAACTTGAGTGTACCTGAATTCTGCTCTGCAGATCCTGGGTCCTCCTCAGGCCATTTACGCCAGCTTTTGTAGAATGGACAGCTGAGACTTGGCTGACAATGCAAAATTATTTTTACTTTCAATCCAGGTGTCCAAAAGTTGAAAATTAACATCTTCATCAAGTAACCTTCAAAATACTGTCCTGTCATAGAAACCAGCACAGAACTGAATCTCCCTCTCAAGATTAGAGCTGATTCCAGTCAGGTGTTTGCTGGCACTGTGTGCAGGGCTGTGCTCAGACAGGAGATTTAGCAGGGGATGACTTTATTGTCATCAGCATGGCATCATTGCCAGGGGCTGTGCAGCAGATTAGGGTCAGCAGCAGAGAGAACAGCAGAGCTTTACCAGCACAGCCAGAATGGCTTACCCAGGCAGAGAAAGGAGGTAAATCCACAGCTACCCAAGGTAGGAAACGTTATTACTGACCTCTACGTTTTGTACAAAGGTGACCATAATTCCATGTTTCTTGACAGTGTTATTTCATAGGAAAAGGTGCAATAACTTCATTATTTTAAATTCAGACAGAAAGAACTCAGTGAAGAGATGATGGAATTTATAGACTGTTGGACACTGTTTTTTTATTGTATTGTAATTTGCCTTTGTTTTTTAATATTTGTTCTCCCCTGTAAAACACACTTGAGAAAACTCTTGAGATTAAAGGTAGTCACAAAATTATATTGTTTTTAGATAGCAAGGGATTTTTAAGGGCTTAATTACTTTTATTAAGAATACAGGGCAGCAAGCAAACTTATTATTTCATTATAAGTTATGCATGTTTGGAAAAAGTCATTTGTTTTGCCTTTTGATCTATAAACATTGTACTCTTGAAAGAATTGCAGCCATGTTGCAACAGCTCTTAAATTGCAGAAGCATTATCTATAAGTGTTAAATATATTCATGAACTTTTGGGGGTCTCATCAATAGTATAGAAGCAGCTCTGTTTTTAGCGTGGCAATTTTTGCATTGTGCTAAATCCCCACAATTTGATGTTTGCACAGTGAGGCACCCCTCAGGCTCGGTGGCTGCTCAGCAGACACTGCCTCAGTCGAGAGGTGACCTGGGTGGGAGTTGCACCCGTGGTGATTAAGTTAAATCCATTACACTCTCATCTGGCCGTGGGTTGTGTAAGAGCAGGGACAAAGCTGGGGTGTGTTCAGCCCAGCCTCCTGTACCTTGCACTTCTGGGTCCATAAAATGTGGCTGTGATGAGGGAAGAGCTTTGTGTGCCTCCCCGTGCCTGTCTGGAGAGGCAGCCACGGCTCTGAGTGCTCTGAGCTTTGCAGCACGGTCTGGAGATGAGAGAAGGCAGCTGTGGATCAGCCTCTTGATCTACTCACACTATAATTAGATGCACCTTTTTGAACTGAAATTTAAGCTGTTCTGTTCCCTTTTTAATCATGTCTGCCTTCTATCGCAACTTCTCTTTATGATATTTTTATTAAACAATTCAAACTGGCACAAGTAAAAAATTATTGTTACTATACAGGTTTTCTATCCAGAGGTATGAAAGGTAACAAAATAAGATCTCTTTTTATCTGATAACAGAACTGCTGTTGCTGAAATGTGTTTTTCTCAGACACAGAATCAGTTCAGCACATTGTTAACTTCCAAAAGCAAATCCTGCATCTGCTACACAGAAAGGTAAATCTGGTTGAACAAGGACAGACATGTCAGGAGAGAAGATTGTCTGCAAGTGCATGTGTGATGCTGTACTGGTCCCCTGGAAAGGCACAATGTTCTCAATAATTCTGTGGGCTCCTGTTACTGGAGCTTTTCTGCATCAAAAGAGAAACTACTGAGACCAAGCACAGAGTTTGAATCATTATTTAAAAAAAAATTGGGGGGGTAATGCTGTCTTTTTGTTTTGGTGTGATGATAGAGATCTTTTGTTTAAAATGTTCCTGATTTAACACCCATCATGTTGGGGATTTATTTGGCTTTTCAGTGTCATCTCTTCAACCTACCTGGACCTACTTGGTCTCACTT